GTCGAGTAACAGTCTTAACGTCTCCGCAGACACCTTGGATGCCCATGGAGACGGCAAATGGATTCAGTTTCAATGGACTTCCATCCGCAGCTTCAATAACCAAGAATTTTGGCCAGGAATCAGACACAAATTGAGAAACTTCTTCATCTGATGAAGAAGAAAGATGTCTTCTTTTATTTGCTTTTACAGAACCAGAGTGTAATGTGTTAGCCATAGTAGGGTGATGCGGTTCAGCAACCCTGCTCCCCACCCGCCACCGAGTGTCAACAAAGACGATGTTGCAGTGGAAACCAGGCTGAAACATCAGGGCTACAGGGGTGGTATACTCCAGAAACACAAACTTGTATAGCAAGGAGATCTAAAAGAAGAAATGCCAGGCTGGTTCGACCTTCAACATTTTTCTTGAGAAACCCAGAATACAGAGGTCCATATCACCAGATTGGCCCATGAGCCACCGCCTTCTGGCATAAGACTCTAGGCAAACGTTTACATAATAATTTGGGATGTCAAACACGTAACACATGACCAAGACCAAATAATACATGAATATCAATCACATTTGTGCAAACACAATATTATGCACAGGGCCTGGCATGACCAGCCGATTGATAAGACCGGGCCCATCTTACTACCCGTCTAGGCGAAGTAAGGGTCGAAGTAGTGTGTTGGGCAAAGGAACACAGTTCCAGGAATCAGTGCCCTCAACTACCAGACTCCCGTCCTCCGCCGACACAGGGACGCAACCCACGGCAAACGGGCTGCCCACTTTGGTCGCCTTTTACGACCAGCAATGGGGTGCTGTAGAAATATTCTACCCCGGTTCCACACGGGGGAAGAGCGATTAGCGTTACCCAGCACTCACCACGAGGAGGTTGCTCTTCACGAGTGCCTCCGGACTAGTAGAAGCAGCCACACAAACACACACACGTACATGCACGTCGCGATATAAGTGCATTAATCTTGAAGGCGACGTTAAACCCCATTTCACCTCACCTCGCCTAATGATTTTCCCACGTCACTCACTCACTCACTTTAAAGGTAGACCACTCTGGCATGTAAAACGGTCTTGATGGGAACATCCTTGGAACTAAGCAACATATTAAATAAAGCCTCAGTCCTTGTATTTTTAGAGCTGTTGCCAAAAGAATGTTGCTATTCTGAAATGTGTCTGAGTCAAGCGCAATTTTTGTTAATAGTTCATGTCATATAAAACCGCTACCGGAGGTTCGATCATTGGCCGCGTTATACCAAAAGACGTTGTACGATGGTAAGTGTTACTACCCTGCCTGTCGCTCCACAATAAGGGGATAAAGCAGGTCCTGAACGGCTTGAAGTGTTATTAATTTGTCTTTCCTATTCCCACACTGCCCGAAACGCTATCCCCTCAAAGATCAATACTACACTTGAGCGAAATAAATTTGAAAAGCAATGCATTTTTTAAATCACAACACATCGACAAATACCCAATTTTTTCTTATCTTTGAAATTGTGGTCCACGTGTTCGATCCCAAAATTACCCAAAGTATGTTCTATAATGGTACTTGTTGTTACTCTGCCTGGCGTTCGACATTAAGGGGAAAAAACATGGTCTGGTAGTCTCAGGGTCAGTTTACTGTCTTAGTGGAGTATCTATGTTAAACTGTGGCATGGTATCTCAGTGGGCTAGCACCGTACAGCATTTTTACGAACTAGTACAAACAGTGAGTGAGTGAGTTTGTGAGTGGGTTTGGTTTTACGCCGCTTTTGGCAATGTTCCAGCAACATCACGGCGGGGGACACCAGAAATGGGCTTATCACATTGTACCCATGTCGGGAATCGAACCCGGGTCTTCGGCGTGACGAGCGAACGCTTTAACCACTAGGCTACCCGCCCGCACTTAGTACAAACACGCGCTGGTAAGTGGTTCTTACAAAGTATGGACATTGTGATAAAAATGTGATCCGATATACTAATCATGACAATAAAACGATCGAGCACGTTATACAGTTACTTTAAAAAATACTTCATGCCATATCATGTCGGGTGATACATCGAATAGGAATGAGGATTCGAAAACAGGATCCCCTGCATGTGGTTGGTTGTTTGGTATGTTGTTTAACGCCGCACTCAGCAATATTCCAGCTATATGACGACGATCTGTAAATTATCGAGTCTGGACCAGACAATCCAGTGATTGATATCATGAGCATCGACCAATGCAATTGGGATCGATGACATGCATCAACCAAGTCAGCGAGCCTGACCAACCGATCCCGATAGTCGCCTCCTACGACAAACATAGTCGCCTTTTAACGGCAAGCATGGGTTGCCGAAGACTTATTCTTGCCCGAATCTCCACGGGTATCCTGCACGTGGAATGGATGTTGGGAACTTTCCCCAAGTGATAATAAATAACCTACAAACGCTCGGGGTTTCTTTTGTACGTGGGACAAAATATTGGAAAATGTGTTTTAATATAGGGTAACGTGTACAATCTGCTTTTGGACACGGACAGCATATTACATCAAGCACAATACATGCTGCACATGTCTCAGGTCGAGTACAATCATACATGCAGGGGTAAGACGTGTACACAATGTAACATGCGTGTTGATGAAGGGGTAATGCGTGTACGCTATGTAACATGTGTGTTGATGTAGGCATAACACGTGTACACCATGTAACATGTGTGTTGATGTAGGCAGATGACGTGTACACCATGTAACATGTGTGTTGATAGAGGCAGAACACGTGTACACTATGAAACGTGTGTGTTGATGTAGGCAGAACACATGTACACCATGTAACGTGTGTGTTGATGCAGGGGTAAGGCGTGTACACCATGAAAGATGTGTATTGATAGAGGCATGACACGTGTACACTATGTAACATGTGTGTTGATGTAGGGTTGAAAGGTGTACGCTATGTAACATGTGTGTTGATGTAGGTAGAACACGAGTACATCATGTAACATACGTGTTGATATAGGCATGACACGTGTACACCATGTAATATGTGTGTTGATGTAGGCAGAACACGTGTACACTATGTAATGTGTGTGTTGATGTAGGGTTGAGGCGTGTACACAATGTAACGTGTGTTGATGCAGGGGTAAGGCGTGTACACTATGTAACGTTTGTTGATGTAGGGGTAAAGTGTCTACACTATGTAAGATATGTGTTGATGAAGGGGTAAAGTGTGTACGCTATGTAACATGTCTGTTGATGTAGGCAGAACACGTTTACTCTATGTAACATGTGTGTTGATGTAGGCACAACACGTGTACACCATGTAAGATGTGTGTTGATAGAGGCATGACACGTGTACACTATGTCAGATGTGTGTTGATGTAGGCAGAACACGTGTACACCATGTAACATGTGTGTTGATGTAGGGTTGAAGTGTGTACGCTATGTAACATGTATGTTGATGTAGGTATAACACGTGTACACTATGTAACGCGTGTGCTGATGTAGGGGTGAGGCGTGTACACAATGTAACATGTGTGTTGATGTAGGCAGAACAAGTGTACACCATGTAATATGTGTGTTGATGTAGGTAGAACACGTGTACACCATGTAACATGTGTGTTGATACAGGCAGAACACGTGTACACTATGTAAGATGTGTGTTGATGTAGGTAGAACACGTGTACACCATGTAAGATGTGTGTTGATGTAGGTATAACACGTGTACACTATGTAACATGTGTGTTGATGTAGGCAGAACACGTGTACACTATGTAAGATGTGTGTTGATGTAGGTATAACACGTGTTCACTAAGTAACATATGTGTTGATGTAGGTATAACACGTGTACACTATGTAACATGTGTGTTGATGTAGGCAGAACACGTGTACACTATGTAAGATGTGTGTTGATGTAGGTAGAACACGTGTACACCATGTAAGATGTGTGTTGATGTAGGTAGAACACGTGTACACTATGTAACATGTGTGTTGATGTAGGGAGATCACGTGTACACCATGTAACATGTGTGTTGATGTAGTCATAACACGTGTACACCATGTCAGATGTGTGTTGATGTAGGTAGAACACGTGTACACAATGTAACATGTGTGTTGATGTAGGTAGAACACGTGTACACCATGTCAGATATGTGTTGATGTAGGTATAACACGTGTACATCATGTAAGATGTGTGTTGATGTAGGTAGAACACGTGTACACTATGTAACATGTGTGTTGATGTAGGCAGAACACGTGTATAATATGTAACATATGTGTTGATGTAGGTAGAACACGTGTACGCTATGTAAGATGTGTGTTGATGTAGGCATAACACGTGTACACCATGTCAGATGTGTGTTGATGTAGGCATAACACGTGTACACCGTGTAACATGTGTGTTGATATAGGCAGAACATGTGTACACTATGTAACATGTGTGTTGATGTAGGTATAACACGTGTACACTATGTAAGATGTGTGTTGATGTAGGTAGAACACGTGTACACAATGTAACATGTGTTAATATAGAACGCGTCCCATTTTAATTCTGGAAACCCAAAAGTCCAGAAACTCTACGCTCTTTGCCCAGTCTCGGTTAAAGGTATTTACAAAATTAAACATGCCGTTTTCATGGGAACATACCAAGGAAGAAAAAATGAAAAAAAAATTGTTTAAAAACTCAATATTTAGACTATGGGCGAAATATTTCAATATCGCTATAAAATAGTTGAAATAAGTTAAAATGAATTAAATTTTGTGTCATGATACTTGAATGAATACATTAAATGTATTTGCGAAACAAAAACATGAGTTTTAAGTACAGGAACATATTCTCGCCCATGGGCCTGCCCATGGGCCTACCCATGGGCCAGACTTCGCCCATGGGCAGGCCCATGGGCCACACTTCGCCCATGGGAGGCCCATGGGCGAGATAGTCTAAATATTGAGTTTTTAAACAATTTTTTTTTCATTTTTTCTTCCTTGGTATGTTCCCATGAAAACGGCATGTTTAATTTTGTAAATATCTTTAACCGAGACTGGGCAAAGAGCGTAGAGTTTCTGGACTTTTGGGTTTCCAGAATTAAAATGGGCATAACACGTGTACACCATGTAACTAGGTTGATCTATGCATAACACGTGTATACCATGTTTCATGTGTGTTGATGTGGTGTAACCTGTGAACAATATGTTGCACATGTGTTGATTTACTAAATCGTGTAAACTATGTCTGCTGATTGATGTGTGTTCTTGTTAGATAACATGTGTAAATATGTACAAGGTGTGTTGATATCGGGATAATACATGCACACTATGTACAGTATGTGTTGATATCGGGATAACACATGCACACTATTTACAGGGTGTGTTGATATCGGGATAACACATGCACACTATGTACAGGGTGTGTTGATATCGGGATAACACATGCACACTATGTACAGGGTGTGTTGATATCGGGATAACACATGCACACTATGTACAGTATGTGTTGATATCGGGATAACACATGCACACCATGTACCGCGTGTGTTGATGTAGGAGTGCCATGCGTACACTGTGAAACATATGGGTTGATGTTGTCGTTAGAAGTGAACACTGTTTACCGCTTGTGTTGATGTAGGAATATCATGCGTACACTGTGAAACATATGGGTTGATGTTGTCGCTATAAGTGAACACTATGTAAAGTGTGTTGATGTAGGAGTACCATGCGTACACTGTGAAACATATGGGTTGATGTTGTCGTTGTAAGTGAACACTGTGTACCGCTTGTGTTGATGTAGGAGTATCATGCGTACACTGTCATACATATGGGTTGATGTTGTCGTTATAAGTGAACACTATGTAACGTGTGTTGATGTAGGAGTGCCATGCGTACACTGTGAAACATATGGGTTGATGTTGTCGCTATAAGTGAACACTATTTACCGCTTGTATTGATGTAGGAGTACCATGCGTACACTGTGAAACATATGGGTCGATGTTGTCGATATAAGTGAACACTATGTAAAGTGTGTTGATGTAGGAGTACCATGCGTACACCGTGAAACATATGGGTTGATGTTGTCGTTGTAAGTGAACACTATAACGTGTATTGATGTAGGAGTACCATGCATACACTGTGAAACAGTTGGGTTGATGTTGTCGTTATAAGTGAACACTATGTAAAGTGTGTTGATGTAGGAGTACCATACGTACACTGTGAAACATATGGGGGGATGTTGTCGTTATAAGTGAACACTATGTAACGTGTATTCATGTAGGAGTACCATGTGTACACTGTGAAACATATGGGTTGATGTTGTCGTTGTAAGTGAACACTATGTAACGTGTATTGATGTAGGAGTACCATGCGTACACTGTGAAACAGTTGGGTTGATGTTGTCGTTATAAGTGAACACTATGTACCGCTTGTGTTGATGTAGGAGTATCATGCGTATACTGTCATACATTTGGGTTGATGTTGTCGTTATAAGTGAACACTATGTAAAGTGTGTTGATGTAGGAGTATCATGCGTACACTGTGAAACATATGGGTTGATGTTGTCGCTATAAGTGAACACTATGTAAAGTGTGTTGATGTAGGAGTACCCTGCGTACACTGTGAAACATATGGGTTGATGTTGTCGTTATAAGTGAACACTATGTACCGCTTGTGTTGATGTAGGAGTACCATGCGTACACTGTGAAACATATGGGTTGATGCTGTCGTTATAAGTGAACACTATGTAACGTGTGTTGATGTAGGAGTACCATGCGTACACTGTGAAACATATGGGTTGATGTTGTCGTTATAAGTGAACACTATGTGCCGCGTGTGTTGATGTAGGACTAACACGTGTATACTATGTAACATACAGTAAACTACGGTTATGACGACCTCAAGGGACCACTAATTTAGTTCGTTATAACTGTAGTTCGTTTTAAGCATATATACAGCATAACTACAGCAAATAGTCAGGACAAAAAGTAAGTTCGTTACATCCGTCATTTCGTTATAAGCGTGTTCGTTATTAACGCAGTTTACTGTATGTATTGATGCAGCGCTTGGTTATTCAGTGATGTCCGTCTTACGTGGAATAGCAGCTGTCAATTGTAAGCAATTGCAAGTAAGACGTAAACTATGTGTTTATTTTGTTTGTGCTGCACCGTATTTATTTGTGAGTGGTTCTGGGTTCAATCTTGTTTTCTTTTCTAAATGTACAAATCATTATCTTGACACAAGAGCCATAAACGTAGAGCCATTTACCGGAATGCATTTATAGACTGCGGAGAGACATAAAAAACAGAAATAATCACATCAATGATAGTGACTACAAATTTGTATCATAAGTGTTTTAACTTCAGCTCGTTCCCCCATCAACCTTGCGACAAAAGTAGAGCATACACTGCCTTGTGTTTTTTACGCTTTGCTATCATCGCTGCTGTATTCCCATTCTTGTCCATGTAATCAATATATACGACATGTTGAGAAAGAATACACCTTACTATCTCCACTTGTCCATGATAACAGGCGACGTGCAGGATGGTGCAACCATTATCATCAACTACAGACAAGTCACTACCTTTACTAATAAGAAGATAACACAGGTCTATATGTCCCTCAGCTGCTGCCACCATCACTGGTGTCCTCCCGATTTTTCCTCTACTGTTGATGTCCACAAAGTTTTGTGAAAGGATGTACTTCACTATCGCCACATTTCCTCCAATACAGGCCAAATGTAGGATGTTCACATCGCATGTATCCACAAGTGAAGTGTCACCTCCTTTATCCAGGACTAATTCAAACGCTTCTCTATGGCCAAATAATGCAGCCACCATCAGTGGTGTCCTCTCGTACATTCCTCTATTGTTGATGTCCACAATGTTCTGAGAGAGGATGTACTTTACTATTTCCACATTTCCTCCAATACAGGCCAAATGTAGGATGTTATCACCATTTATATCCTCAAGTGAAGTATCACTTCCTTTATCCACGACTAATTCAAACACTTCTCTATGTCCCTCACGTGCCGCTAAATGCAATGGTGTCATTCCGTGCATTCCTCTACTGTTGATGTCTGTAATATTCTGTGAGAAGATGTACTTCACCATCTCCACATGTCCTCCAAAGCAGGCCATATGTAGGATGCTGCTACCTTCAGCATCAACTTGCGACACATTTCCACCTGCACATGCACAAATGTCAAACACTTCCCTATGTCCAAATAGTGCTGCCATTATCACTGATGTTCTTTCGCGTTGTCCTCTGCTATTGATGTCTACAATGTTCAGTGAGATGATATATTTAACCATCCTCACATGACCACCTCTACAGCTTATATGAAGGATGTTGTCTCCGGCCTTATCTACTAGTGACACATTAGCTCCCTTTCCAAGGAGAAATTTAAAAACTTCACTTTTCCCATTGTATGCCGCTGTCATCGCTGATGTCCTCCCATACTGTCCTCTACTGTTGATGTCCACGATGTCAAGTGACATGATATATTTCACTATCGCAAGATGTCCTCCATGACAGGCCATATGAAGAATGTTGTTTCCCTTATTGTCAACAAATGACATGTTGCATCCTTTATGCACAAGATAGTCAAACACATCCCTATGTCCGCCACATGCTGCCAACACAACGGATGTCCTCCCATATATTCCTCTATTGTTGATGGCGGTAATGTTCCGTGAGAGGATGTACTTGATGATCTCCAGAGGGCTATGTCCACCACGCGCTGCTAACATCACTGGTGTCATCCCGTACTCCCTCTCTCTACTGTTAATGTCAACGTGACCTTCAGTTAAGATGCCTTGCACTCGGCTAAGATCACCCTCCCTGCAGGCTTCAAGAAGTATGTTGTCTCCAGACTTTCTCTTCTGGTCTCGTTTGTGTTGTTGGTATCTCGAAAGAAAGATCATCTCTTCATCTGTAAATATTTATTTAAATGTTATAATGTTTACATTTTAATGCAGATTTGTTTTACGATTTGAACATATAATTGTCCTTTCAAAAACTGCTTCACATTGATATATATATGTCTCATCCTGACATATACCGAAACCATTTCTTAGGTTGTCTTAAATTCTAATTCAGGAAAGTTGGAGATCAAGCAAATTCAATAGATATTTTAATTTTCTTATAGATCCTTTTCACTTTTATTTGTTGACTAGGGATGTTTCTTATATATATATTGTTTATATATTGTTTATTCCCAAAACGGGTTAGCCTATTACACAGAAATATTTACAGAGAGAGGGAGAAAAAAGAATTACCACTAGATTACATATACATCCATATCCATACACATTCATACACATGCATATACACAAATAAATATTTAGACTGTATGTAATGAACGAAGTCGAAAAGCTTTGTAAACGTAGACTGCTAGATTTCGTATGATTTTAGAGTTAGTGGATGACATAAGAGCATTAAATTTATTTTTAGAAGGGGTTGTAAAATATTTAGGTGGAATGTATTCAGCTCTTAAATTATTATAAGCATTGCATACAAGCACAAAATGATATTCGTCCTCAATAAAATTCTGGTTACACATCAAACACAGTCTCTGTTCTCTAATTTCCTTAATATATCGACCGGTCTCAATTCGCAGCCGATGGGAGGAGCATCTCAACTGAGCAAGAGCAGCTCTGAATTTTGAAACATTTACTACATTGATATAGCTTTCTAAGCCAAATGAAATTTTGTAAAGAGAGTAACTCTGGGATTTAGTGCTAGATGAAACAGCTGCATGCCAATCTTGCTCAGACGAGGCTTTTAAACGGTTTACAAATTCCAAGATAAAGCTTCTACTATTATTACTAAATTGCATCTCCCATATGTAGCCAAAACCAACCGAACAGAGAATGTGTTTGATTTTAGAGACCCAGTTGATCTTACCATTATTAACATCAAGTAATAATAATCTATAACATTTCTTAACTAATCTATTTTCAGGCAAATGTAAAATTCTGTACCAATAAGTAACTACACGCTTATAAGCCCATATGTACATAGGATACCTTCCGCATTCCCCCCGAATCACATGATTTGATGAAGATTGTTTAACCCCAAGAAAGCGTTTACATGCTAGTATCTGGATTTGCTCTAATTCTTTGTAGGTATCTACATATATAGATATAGCGACTCTCTTAATTTTTTATATTTTTGCTCTGGGTGGAGGAGATGAACTATTGTTCATTAATTCCCAAAATAAATCCTGTAAAATTGCCCATTACCGTCATAAAAAAAGAAATATTCAAAAATAGTCTCAATTTATATTCAGGAATACCGAAATACAGGTAAAGTTAACAGATACTTGGAGTATTTATACAATATATGAACTTCAGTAAGTGGGTCCGTGACATGGTAGTTTCTCAAATAATGTTTTCTCCCCAGTCCAACCCTTCGCTAAAAGAGCGAATGGAAACTAGACGGAAAGTAACTTGAAGGCAGTTACCTTTTACACAGACAGCTTTTCCAGATCGACTCTCTATACACCTAGAACCGAGACTGCAAGACGTGTCTGTGCAGGGACTAGCGAGTATCTGTAAACAGAGGTAAACTTTCAACTGCGTGTCCGTGGATGTCTCCTCCAAAAAATAAACCACACTGAGTCGATTAATTTCTCTGTCAGTTCTTGAGTAGCATTAGTCTTTATATTCGTTTGAAGTTGTCTTTCTAGATATAGGGGGCTGACTGGGTAATGTGATATGGATGGACTATTGACAAAGGCAACATAACACACAACTCATTGACTCTTTATATTTGACAGGAAATGGCACATAATTTGCTTAAAGTTAGTGTCCTTTCGTCAATATAGTGTAATTATCTAAACACATTTTTTGGAAAGGTATTAAGGAAAATACATGCAATCATGTTCAAAAAGAGAAACACATTTGTAAAATATATTCAACTTACATCTGAATGATTCTTTTGAAAAGCAATGAATCCTTCATTTTCCTTTTTTCGTTTTGATTCACCAAGTCGTAGACGACAAACTAACATTTCATAATTGTATTCGAATCTCAATCATCCGCCAACTTCAACACATCTTGCTTGACACAACCTGATGCCAATGTTCCTGTAAGTGACGGATCTCTCTGTCGCCTTCTCTATTGTTTGAATTCCACATTGTTTCTTGCTGGACGTGGAAGATCCAGGCACTGCGTGAACAACTGCTGACAGCAGGAGCAGGTTCCCGAAGACCCCTGAACACAGTGGCGTCATCTTCAAGTGTTCATAGAGGATTACTGGACACAACGACCACATACACTTGAGGACGAATACTCGACTGCTGATCAACAAAACCAAGGCAGACCTTTATACGTCTTATAGCAGTTGTACATAGACGGCATGTGACAGATTACGTTACTGCTCTACATGTTAAATGCGAGATCAATACAGCAAAGTACAGACTGGAACCATCAAAGAAAATGTCGTCTAAGGTTTACTGATAAATCAGTATGGGAAATTCTAAACTTCCTCAAGAATCCATCTGTGTGAAATTCGAGGATAAAATGTTTGAGGAAGTGGGTATTCCAATGATTACAATAGAATTTCGTTTCTATTAGGATTGGCAAAATCTTATCTTTGGCTTCAGCTCATAAAAGGGCACTGAACACAACTAGAACTGATTATTTCCGAATCTTACAATATAAATCAGTTAATCATAAATTACCAATTTGTAAGCAGTAAATTGTTGATGTAATTTACATAAAACTAGCACCACAGTAGGCAAATTACAACACTATATGACGGGCATGTAACGTTTAAAGGTACTGCTGGTGTATGTCAGTCGATGCAATAGAAGGTCGTGTGTTTCTCTGCTCACAGCTCATAACTACAGGTCTGTCAGAATCACAGGATCGTGAGATCGTGACTCGAAGGGATTTAAAAATGGTCCATTTATCAGTTGCACAAATTTGCAGAAAAAAAACCCATTTATGTGTTAAGCTATTGACTCATAGATACTAAAATAAACTATATTATTTTCTTTGAGATGCACGTTAGATTCACATGCTGTCGGTTCAACACATCGTGGCCATATTATTCTTGCATTTTTCACTTGAGACAGCAAAATATGTCTATCCAATTTCACAAGTCATAGGTCTAACATTAAGTAAGGATAAGAATTTATGGAAGAACAACTTCTTTATTACAATTAAGAGCGACGTTTCGGAGTAGGTTCTAACACCGTTATCAACAAGTGATGTGTACTTCGTCGCTCTTAATTGTAATAAAGAAGTTGTTCATCCATAAATTCCTATCCTTGCTTAGTACTCCAACTTCTAAATGCCTATCAAAAAAGGTCTAACATTGCCAACATCAGAAATAAACAATTGCATCAGAACATGTCCAGCAATAAATGCTCTTAGAGAATGCTGGATCTCGTGAAAAAAGGTCCAACTTATTCTTTCAGAGAAAAAAAAGAGTAGTCGGTCAATCACGTTATAAATTGGTCCTATGTCTCTTCGTGTTAGTCATGCATACGTACTGAAAGAATGTGTACTGAATACTGCAAGACCACAATCTGAAAATTCGGAGTGAAAGAGTTCCAGAGGAAACATATTTTACTTGCTGAAACATTAACGTTGCAAATTTGGGAACGTAAATATTGTCTGACTGTGACTACAACTACTTGACCTTCTACTACTTCTACTTTACTACCACTACTACTACTACTACTAGTAGCAGACTTACTACTACTACTACTACTACTACTACTACTATTGCTACTACAGCCACCACCACCATCCCCGCCACCACTACTCCTACTACTACTACTTCTACTATTACTACCACTACCACTACTACTACAAGTACTATTATTACTACTACAGCCACCACCACCAACTACTAGTACTGCTGCTACAACCACTACCACTACCACTACTACTACTACTACTATTATTACTACTACGACCACCACTACCATCACCACCACAACTACTACTACTACTACTAGACCTGTTATTTAAGTACCACACGAAATCATGTCCCTGTGCTTGTTGGTTTCACGAAAGTGGTAAACGTTTAAGACCCGTATCACTTCGAGTGCTTATCTCACATCAAGATGACAAACCGTATTAAACAGCAATTATGTTTAAAATGGTATTTAACCATACTCGCTGACCGGAACTAGACAGGTCACTTTTTACCACAAGACACAAGATATATGTCACCTACGTTACTTTTAGGTACATCACTTGTATAAAATCACAATACACAACATGGGCCCTCAATATTACAAATACACAGAACACTTACATAAGACATGATACTGTATTGCAGAATTCGTCAATGCCACAAATGAACATGCCCCTTGTGTAACACAATGCCCAATATAGTTTAGCTATCTTACTTTTAGACAGGTCACTTATTTAATAAACAAGACACATCATATATAAGCTATATTACTATTGGACAGAACACGTACATCGCACGATACATCACAGGGGTCTTCATACGACAACTAAACATGTCAATTGTAGAAGATAAGCTACAACATAGGTCCTCTGTACCTCTAGTAGGCACGACACCTATTTAGCACACTACATCAACGAAATATTTAATACTACAACTATATGGACATGGACCAGCTTACAACGTCTTGGAAGACTATTTATACAAAAAAGACGCCTCACTTCCTTATCACTGCATCGACGAAAACGTCTTGACGACCGAGTGCTTAAAACGGATACACCGTCGTCCAAAGAATGATAGTTTGTAGTGTCAGTAGCGGTGTTGTAGTGACAGTGGAAGTAGTAGTGGCAGTAGCAGTGGTAGTGGTGGTACTGGAAGTAGAGGTAGTAAAAGTAGTAGTAGTAGCAGTGGTGGTGGTATAGTAGTCGTTGTAGTGGTAGTAGTAGCAGTGGTAGTTTTGGTGGTGGTAGTAGTTGTGATCTTTGTAGGGGTG